TTCCCTTTTTTAAAGGGAAATCCTATTCGGAATAAGGGAATTTCCCTTAAAAAAAAGGAAAAGGTTGACAGCTATGCACAGGGAGCATTTGCACAACACACCTGCACACTGCAGCATACACACTAACATGTAGTGACACACAGTTTGGAAACTCTGGGTTAACAACTTGATTCTGCAGACAATACAAAATACTCTGGCAAAGGGAACTGAGGAGACAATCCTGTCACTGCAGAACACACTGTGAAGAGCCCTTTTATCCCTGACATTCAGTCCTTGCCAAAGCATCTCCAAGAGAAGTTTTTGGAATTCAAGTGTGCGTCAACAGCCAAAGATGATGTCAAACCATTCACTTTGCAAAAGTTTGGCTTGAAATATCTCTTGATATACCCCAAAACAGGAGTGCAGGCTCTGCTCATCATTGTGCCATTTCCATCCACATACCTTTGCAAAACTTCCCCCCATGCTCTTATGACTATTAAAACAAAGCAGCTCAACATACCGGATGTTGAAAGTGACCTAAGCTGTGTCCTGAATGCAAGACATTGAGCCTAGCATGCAACATCATCAGTGTTCATGTCAATACTAATTGTAGTAGACTTGTTGAAATTTTTAATTTCATATGATTTTTTTGAAAATTTGAATAATTCATTTTTTAGAATTGTAAGCATTTAGATTCATTTTTATTAAGCCAGAAATTATTAACTATAATTAAAAGTCACAATATTTCATTTGAATTTTCAAAAGGATTGAAATAATTAGGGGAGCCAGGCTTGATGGGTGAATAATATGTTTATGTTAGCTAAAAGGGTACATGGGTTAGCAACATAGCTGTCAACCTTCCCTTTTTTGGCGGTAAATTCCCTTATTCCAGCGCCGTTTCCCCGCTGCTATCCCGGATTGTTAGATATCCTGTAGACTGTCCCCGGGACAGGTGAGGCTGCTGATCCCTTATTTCTGAGGCTGCTGATCCCTTATTTTCAAATCTGAAAGTTGACAGCTATGGTTATCAAATATTGAGAAACACTGCCTTAAAGGCTGCTTACAAACCAAAAACAACCTTTAAAATAATTCCCCTAGAAAATAGTAGAAGACAACTGAATTTAGTGGTGTATTTTGGCCATATTATACATCTTTTTTGAGATACACACACACACTGTCCTTTTCTTGCCCTGTAGCCATGGCTAAAAACACAAGACAATTGCAAGTCTGTACTATGAAACTATAGGAATCAACAATGAACTTGCTTCACAGTCTTTTGATTCCCATGAATTAAGTATTGCTAGCATTTTCCCCCAAATCTTGCCAGCTTTGAGGATTTACAAGGCTCCACTTGTTTCAGCAATGCAGAGTGTAAAGTTCTTTATCTGCTACTTATACTGAAAGATCCCTGCAGTTTGGCAACTCTTTTCCCGGGTAAAATATATAGACTTTGTTTGCGCCTAGCATCTTTTAACGAAGCGATGTTACCTTGCATGTAAGCTGCATGTAATGGAAGAGTATGATCCACAGAACAACATTTGCACTTGGACAAGGCCGAGGCTGCAGGTAAATTGAACTGCTATCACAACTGCTTCAAAATATTATGTCAGAAAAGTATTCTGTGTTAAAACAACTGATATGCCTCCCAGCAATATTGGCTTAATAGTTAATCTTTAAACCAAGTTTTAGGGGGCCTTCAGCAAATAAGGAAAACTTTCACACCACTAGGATCACACAATTATTTTAAACACATTAATGTCTTAAATAATTTCTACTAAGACCAAACACGGAGCATTTCCCCTCAAACATTTCCTTTAATACTGGGAAGTGTGGGGCGTGACCAGGGCCAATTTAAACCATGGCGCGATGCTGAAACACCACTTCTAGCCTCGCGCCACAGATCTCCCGCCCTCCCACCCTTCAGGTTCAAGTTGCGTCATTGGCCTCGCTATGGATTTCGGTTAGTCGTCGTTGAGGGGCCTGGTAGGACTTTTCCCACTTGGCAAATTGGCACTGGCCACTTGGTTTTTGCCTACCTCGTAGCAATCGTCACAACTTTGTAAGGTTTGGCGGTTAGGCATTGGAATAGCACTGTGTGGGGGAGGGGAGGTGCGGCCATCACCTGCCCCTCCATGCTGACCCATTAAAGCAGGGGTCAGCAACCTTTTTCAGCTGTGGGCCGGTCCACCGTCCCTCAGACCATGTGGTGGGCTGAACTATATTTTTTTTTGGGGGGGGGGAATGAACGAATTCCTATGCCCCACAAATAACCCAGAGATGCATTTTGAATAAAAGCACACATTCTACTCATGTAAAAACACCAGGCAGGCCCCACAAATAATCCAGAGATGCATTTTAAATAAAAGGTCACATTCTACTCATGTAAAAACATGCTGATTGCTGGACCGTCTGTGGGCCAGATTGAGAAGGCAATTGGGCCGCATCCGGCCCCTGGGCCTTAGGTTGCCTACCCCTGCGTTAAAGGAATCTGGGGGTGTGGATCTCGTCCGAAGCCTGGGGAGGGGCTAGGGCCATGCCATGACCCCATTGGGAACCTGGGCTCCCCCTACTGGTAATTTACCCTTATCAGACTCCCTGCAAGGCGGGGTCGGGTCCAGTGCCTAAGCCAATACCACTCACAGTCTGTAACCAATAAAGTTGTGGCCTAAATTTTGCCCATTAACATTAACCTAACATTCTGGGTCCTTGTGTCTTTATTCTCATGGGGGGTGGCTTGGGGGTTTGACACACAACTGATATGCCTCCCAGCAAAATTGGCTTAATAGTTAATCTTTAAACCAAGTTTTAGGGGGAAATACAACCTGCAGCAAATATGGAAAACTTCCCCACCACTAGGACCACACAATTATTTAAAACACATTAATGTCTTAAATAATTTCTACTAAGACCAAACACGGAGCATTTCCCCTCAAACATTTCCTTTAATACTGGAAAGTAAAAAGATGAAGTTAGAATGGATATTGGTGCAGGTACTGTTCTAATCCTACCCTTCACTAATTTCTCCCACCTCCCTCACCCTGCCAAATAACTTTGAGAGGGGCATATATTTACAGTTAAGGAAAAGGCATAGGAGGAAAGAATTTAAACTCTCTCTCAAGGCTCTACCTTCCCTCTATTCAAAGCAGCTGCCTGGGCCCTCAGTCAACATATCTCATATCCATTATTGTTGACCCTGAATTTAATGGGTTCTAATTCAAGGTGAACATTAAAAAAAGATTTGTGGTTTGGTACAGAAATCCGTGGGGGGCACCAGTGCCTTCCATCCATGGATGCTGGTGGAAACTTAATATAAAAGCGAAGTTTCCACCAGTTCCCATGAAAGGAAGGCACTGATGCTCCACATGGATTTCTGTACCAAACCACAAATCTTTTTTTAATGTTCACCTTGAATTGGAAGCAGTATGGGAAACAAATTAATGATATAAATACTTTATCATTGTTCTCAGAAAGGTCCTGTGCTGTAACCCTTTCAACAGACTACACTCACTAAATCTGAAATCTCTAAAGAATTATAAAAAGCACACCATCTGTTTCTAATTAAATGATCTAAAAATAGAATCGAAGATATCTAATACATAAGACATTGTGCTAGTTTGCTTAAGATCCCACATGTATGCCTATTTGGTGAATGTTGTATTTTAAAAGTTGGCAGTTATCCCCCTGCCAATTAGGAAAGATAATGAAGGCTAACTGAATGCATGAAACCATATGTTTTCATAACAACTAAATCACCACATATACCAAGACTTGTCTTCTAAAACTCAAAACATTACAAAATCTAATTCATTTATTAAATTCTATGCAAAAATCATATGGAGCAGCTCTACTGAATGCACTGGGGCATACTTCTCTGTAAATATAAGTCAAGATTGTGCTGCAAGAAATTCTAATTGTACCATAAAAGGCTGTAGTCACCAATATGGTGCTTTCTGATACAACTGGAAACTTCTGGATCTTACAAAGCCTCAGATCCAGTAAAACGCGATCCTTCTGAAATTCCCTCTTCCAGCCACCAACCCACCATCAAATCTATATCTCTGTTTACTGAGCCACAACAATCATCTGGTGCTTTTCAGTGCTGTCATGGTACAAACATATAAATTCAACAAATGGCTCCACATCAATCTTTGCCATTTTGACAAGGGATCACCTCAGAGCTACCATCAAATCATTAGTTACCTCTTTGTCCACAGAAGTGCTTTGTGACTTCACAGGATGGCAACAAAGCCACCAAAGTAAAAAAATAATAAATAAAAAGCCATGAATATCCTTGGAGAGCCAAGCCTTAGATCAAATGTTTTGATAAGAACCCCATGTAAAATTATTCAAATTCAACAGAATCAATATTAATTCTGCTGAATCAGAGTTCAACCCAGACGTCAAGGAAAAATAAAGTATGTATGTGGGGGCACATACAACATCCTCTCAGAATTCCAATGTACTAACATACCCAAAAAAGCTGGTAACCTTTATAATGTCACAATTGGCCAATAAATGACTTTTGCAACTGGCAAAATCAACTGAATAAAGATTGGAAGTAAAAGTTGAGATTTGTTAGTCTAGTTATCTTATTTTCAGTGGGCTTCTGTTTAATTCTACTAATCCATTGCTGATCACTTCTTTTTTGATAGCTATATTAAGTAAAAGAACAAAATAATGCAGTTTAGATTTCTGTTTTAAACCACAGACATTCAGACAGAGAAAAATATAACAAAAGAGCCTTTATGGTCTTTTAAGTTGGGGGAAGCTCATATCTTCAAAAACCCTAGCTAACAAAAATGAATCAGCATCATGAGATAAAATCTAAACAATGAGTCACATTATGTGGTATCTCTCTCTATGGACTCTAAATAATTTAAGAGTATGATTCCATATAGTAATATGTTTGTACACACACACACACACACAGAGAATATTGCAGGCTATCACTGCAATCCTGCATGCAGATGGGCTATATTCTATGAGGTTATATAACAATAAACAGCCAAATGAATACATACCTTGGAATAAGAGCTTTTTAATGGTGTCCACTTTTCACTACTCAGGAGATAAGGGACTATTATTTCATAGTGTGCTGGTTGGTTCTTTGAAATCCATTGCCTAGAGAATTCCAGCTTGTGCTTTGCATCCCCTCCTAGAGGAAAAAACGAAATTTTAAAAATAATGTTAACAAACTTATTGCACATGCTATACAAAATATTGCTAAATGAAATAAACTGAAAAGGTAAAACACCAATGTAATACTTAAAGATGTGATACACAAGTAAGCATTTATGTGGTCTGCTTTTTGGTTCCATATTATGTTGTTTTCACTTTGGAAGTAGATAAAGAAATGATTTCCACGTGTGGAAGAAAGAATAGAAAGAGATTAACTTGAAATAGAAGGGGAAATGATAATGGAAGCAACCCAGTTGCTTCTTAAGACTGTGGTCCCTGGCAATCTTTCAGAAGGTCCCTGAGGCTAAGGTAAGATATTAGAGTAAATGCTGAAAAGGCAGAGGTTTCTCACATGTCTCCACTGCATGCTGTATAGGCACTCTGTTTTCAGTAACCATAGTTAAGATTAACAATAGTTTAGGGCTCAGATGATGCTAAGGTGTGTCTTATTTCCTCTTGCAGCTACACTAGAGAAGGAAAGAAAGGGAATTACATGAGCCTGGTGAAAGCTTGGCTAATTCACAATCAATACTGTTAAACCATTGTTTAGTGTGTTTAGAACAAAACCATCCTAGTATGGCAACACCACTAAAGATAAATAAATAGCAATTTCCTCTTATGTTCTTTTTTTTCTTTCACCAGAGTACCTGCTAGCCTACAATAAGATTACATCTCAGTTATATAGCTCTTCACATGAGCATAGCGGGGGGGGGGGGGAGCAGGTAGGGAGGCAGCTGCTGCCCCATAGATCAAGTAAAACAATAGAAATAACTAACTGAACCAATTATGTCAGTTCTGGGGGCCCCCACACAAGTCCTGCCCCCTCTAACAAAGTCCTGCCCCCCCAACAAAAATCCTGGCTACACCCATGGATCTTCACATTGATTTTGCACAAAGGGTTTAACCATTTTTATTTAAGACTTTGTATTAGCTCTCCTAAATATTTTTAAGATCTTTAACATTTTATTCTTCTCTGAAAAAAACTCCACAGTTGTGTGCCATTTCTACAAGCTATTTGAGTTTGTTTTTCCCCCTGCCATGGACATAATTATCAATTATCTCAGTAGTTTCAAAATGTTTTATCCGGAACATGCAAGTCGCAGAGTATTTACAGTCCCTAGGTGTTCTAGATGCACATTAGTGAAAGAATCATCTCAAAGAGAGAAGATACAAGCTAACACAGTATGCACTGCAGAGCCAGATTATTAGCGTTATGTCAAAAAAGCAACTGGTTTCTGGCTTTTATTTCTTACTCCTAATTATACTAATTATAGCTGCCAGAGAAACAGCTCTAAAATGTAATAAAGCTCCATGGGTCTCAAGTTACTCACTATGGGCTTGGTCCAGTCAAAGTTGCATACTTCTAGGTCAGAGAAATTTTAACAGGATTCTAATGAGATTTAAGTGTTTAACTTGGTTGGACTGCAGCCAAACTTCAGCTCTGTATTTTAGTAATGACAATCCATGAGACGATCCATTTATTTGTAGCGCAAGATCTTAAAAGGCTGCAAACCAATCCTGGGCATGTTTACTCAGAAGTAAGTCCTACTGAGTTCAGTGGATTTAGTTCCTAGCACGTATCAGATTATAATCATTCTGCACCATCTGCAGCCCCTTGATCAGTTGCAAGAGAAGCCACATGTACAGCACATTACAATGACCAAATTATCCCTAGCTATGAAAGGGTGCAGCTGGAGAAAGGCAGTCTTCACCACAGAGGCCACCCGGGAAAATAGTTTCAAGAGCACCCTAAACTGCACTCCTGTTTCTTTAGAGGGAATGTAACCCTATCTAGAACAGGCAATGAAACCATTTACCCACAGTGTGTCTTTATCTTATAAGGATTCAGTTGGTATTTATCTTGGAACTGAATTGATTTTACGTATGTGCTGTTGTTTTAAACTGTTTTTATGTTTATAATTGTCTTTTGAAATTGTTTTTTAAAAGTGCAATTGTTTTTAACTGGTTTCATATATGTGATGATACTGCAAATTGTTTCAGGATAGGAAACAATTCATTAATGAAATAGATAAATAAGTTCGGTATCGATCTGTTGTCCCTTCATTCTCTACACAACTGCATCCAGGCACTGGTTCAGTTTCTGCACAGCATCTCCTGTCTCAGATTTAATGGGAAAACAAGAGCCGGGTATCATCAGCATACTGATGACAATGTGCACCAAACTTCCTGATGACTGCTCCCAAAGGTTTCATATAAATGTTAAATAGAATTGCAGACATGACGGTGCCTGTTCAGCGTGAGACAGTTCTGCCACTGAAGAGTCCCCTGGATGTGAGGGAGATGTCATATCATTCCTAGAGGGGCAAGGCTACTACATCATCATCATTTATTATTTATACCCCGCGCATCTGGCTGGGTTTCCCCAGCCACTCTGGGCAGCTCCCAACAGAATACAGTGGACACTTGGGTTGCGAACGTGATCTGTGCAGGATGCACGTTCTCAACCTGCAGAGTTCTCAACCTGCAGCCATGTGTCTGTGCACGCGCGGGTTGCGATTTAGCGCTTCTGTGCATGCGCGACCCCTGAAACCTGGAAGTAACCCATTCCGGAACTTCCAGGTTTCAGTGGGTCCGTAACCAGAAAAAACGCAATCTGAAGCCTCTGTAACCCGAGGTATGACTGTATTAAAAACACAATAAAACATCAAACATTAAAAACTTCCCTAAACAGGGGTGTCTTCAGATGTCTTCTAAAAGTCAGATGGTTGTTTATTTGGTACAGAGTGGGTTTGGTGTCATGAGTGTGCTCACACCACACTGTGCCCACACCACTCTGAGCTCCCTTGCTGCCTCTCCCCTTCCCATGTTGGTAAGTGCCAGCAACATGCAGCACTGGGATGCCTGGAGAGCAATGTAGTCCCACCCAATGACTCTGAACAGATCGTAGGATTAATCAGATTCTCCATCAAATCAGTGCATGATCACCATCAAATCTCTCCAAGCCACATTTTATTTCTTGTCCCAATTAAACCTTCAACACAGATTGGAAGGAGTAGTTTGGCCATTTAAAACTGCAATTTTTTTCATACCGCTATGGAAGGGGGGTGGAAACCTTTCACACATCTTGAGCACGCATAGTATTACTTTTCTAAGCGTAGCATGAAATGAAATCTACACAGTTTCGTATCAACCATGAGGAATCAAAACAGTGTCATCAAGGAAGGGTCAGGGGAGGAAATGCTACCAGCCTACTAATTAATACTATAAATATTTAACTGCAAATTCTTGAAAATAACATCTGAATTCTTCCAGGAAGAAAGGATCATTGTCCAGGTAAAATAAAAAGTGAAACTTGACCAAAAAAAAATATTATGAAAAAAGTCAATTTTGTCAATGTGTGTGCAGAATTCTTTTCGGCTCATTAGAGCAGTCACAACTATTTAAAATTAAATGACTTCATTTTTATACCAACTACTTTACAAGATTCATAAATGTTAAGCCTCCATGGAAAACTTCATAAACTTTTATCTTAAAAGGCAAAATATTTCTCTCTGCAATTTTTTCCCCAGTGCTGAATTTATTAATGTGCAATATTTATTAATGCTTAATAAATGGGTGAGTGTGTGTGGAGAAGATAGATAGAAATCTTGGGAGACCAAATGATACTTTTGCTTCAATGTTAGCCAATTTACTAATGCTAGTAAAAACATTTAACTCTGAAGCGCTGGGAAGAAATAGAAGGATTTCAACAGAACCAAATATATGACAAAACTGAAACAATACATCCCAACTTTAGCTAGAAGTTAGGTAATTTTATCTCACTTTCTTTTGGTGCATGTGGAATTTTAAACTTTACAGAGCTCTTCAAGCAGCTGTGCAATGGTTAAAAACAGGCACGGGCAAACTCAGCCCTCCAGATGTTTTGGGACTACAACTCCCATCATCCCTGACCCCTGGTCCTGTCAGCTAGGGATGATGGGAGTTGTAGTCCCAAAACATCTGGAGGGCCGAGTTTGCCTATGCCTGGTTAAAAGCATGTATGCATCAACTAAAGTTGGACCATTTAAGATTTCTCCAACATTACTATTAACTATTCTCTAAAATGAACACAGCACAACAGTCTCAAGATGGGATGGGCATACTCCATTCCATTCCATAGGGGGCTTTTCTTCATGGGACAAGAAGCCTAGCAACCAGTCAAGTGCCAAAGACCCTCCAGATGTTGTTAGACTATGCAAAAAACATTGTGCACTCATCATGTGCTACCATTTATCACACAGAGTACTGCAATCATGCTTTCTATCTCCATGCATTACTCTCTGAATTGGGAAGACAAGGATGAAAAGATCCAGACACTCAGCCCATTTAGATGTTCCTACTTTGGTATAGAGCAATTGCTGTGCTGAGGATCTTTACATCTGCCCAGGGCTTTTTTTCCAGCCAGAACTCACTAGATCTCAGTTTCGGCACCTCTCAGATGGGTGGCATTGCCATTATAAGAGAACAAGGGAGTCATTCATGGTGCATTCTGGCAAATTCCGCCCCCCCCCCAAATAGCACTGCATCTGCCTATATGTGTAGAACAATGTTTAAAAACTAGCTTTACATTTGAGGCTTCTTCTTAGGTGATCCATTGCGACTGAGTTGTAATGATCATTTTTGTCTTCCTGCAACCACATACAAGTATTCAGTTCAGGGGTGGGGACCTGTGGCATATGTTGTTGGACTCCAAATCTCATCATCCTAGTAGCAGATGGCGCTACACCCAGCTCCCTCACCCCTCCTGGTAAGCAGCAGTGACTGTCAAAAAGTCAGGATGGTCAGAGTTGTAGTCTACCAACATCTGAATGGCCACGAGTTCACCACTCTTGCTATAATAAAGGTAAAGGGACCCCTGACCATTAGGTCCAGTCGTGAGCGACTCTGGGGTTGCGGTGCTCATCTCACTTTATTGGCCAAGGGAGCCGGCGTACAGCTTCCAGGTCATGTGGCCATTTACCTTCCCACCGGAGCGGT